TACTCTTCAAAGCCCACAAATACGCTCGAAGTTTTGCCGGGGCCGCGCCAACAGGCTTGGGATCCCGCTCGGGCCAAACCCGTGCCAAGGCGCAGATACGGACCAACACAGTCACGCTGGGGAGTCCACTCGGGCCAGCTATGGATGCAACGCGCAGGCGCCTGCAAGGACCAAAGCGGCCAGGCTCGCTAGCCCGCTCGGGATCCCGCTCGGGCCGAGCACGGGTGCCACGCAAGGAATAAGCAAAGGCAAGCGAAGCCACGCTCAGGATCCCGCTCGGGATCCCGCTCGGGGCTGCCACGCAAAGGTGTCACTTGCGGAAGCCATACAGTTAGCGCACGCCAGATTCTCTTGCGCCTCGTTTGGCCGTGTCAGCCAGGACTCTTCGCATTACGCTTGCCAACGCGCTTCTCCTACAGTACTCGCCGTTTCCTGCAACGGCAGCCCAGCTGTCTTGATAATTGAATTCGGCTTTCGGAAATACAAAGAACGGGCAGCCTTAACTCCACCCCTAAAAGCCTGACAACTCCACCCCTAAAGCAATGCTTCCTGCGACTTGAAAGGGCGCCCGTAGCAAAAATACACGACATTATCAAGAAGCTCGCATTGTCGGAGTGTTGCACCATGTTGCATCCAAATGCAAATGCATTCTCGTAGCGGAACAGTTGGGCCATCAAGTCCCGAACTCAAGCTGGGCTAGGACACTGTGTAAAAGCCTTACCAGCAAGAAAACGACAAGTCCATAATCCTGGAGAAACACCGTGCTCTGGTTTCACTCTTGAAAGCCAACAAATACGCTCGAAGTTTTGCCGGGGCCGCGCCCGCAAACAGGCTTGAGGCCCCGCCCGGGCCGAGCACAGACGCCGCGCAAGGCGCTGGTAACGCGCAGGCGGCTGAAAGGACCAAAACGGCCAGGCTCGCTAGCCCGCTCGGGATCCCGCTCGGGCCGAGCACGGATGCCGCGCGAAGCACCGCTCGGGATTTCCGGGGCGAGCGCGGATGCCACGCAAAGGCAGACCCTCTTGCGGAAGCCATACAGTTAGCACACGCCAGACCCTCTTGCGCCTCGTTTGGCCGTGTCAGCCAGGGCTCTTCTGCCAACCCGCTTCTCTACTGCAATAGCTGTCTTGAAAATTGACTTTGGCTTTGGGATTCACAAACAACGGGCCCCTATAAAAGCCTGGCAACTCCACCCCTAAAGCAATGCTTCTTGCGACTTGAAAGCACGCCCGTAGCAAACATCAACGACATCATCAAGAAGCCCGCGTTGTCCGAGTGTTGCATCATGTTGCGTCCAAACGCAAACGCATTATCGCAGCGGACAGTTGGGCCTGTGTAAGAGCTTTACCCGCAAGAAAACGACAAGTCCATAATCCTGAAGAAGCACCATGCTCTGATTTCACTCTTCAAAGCCCACAAATACGCTCGAAGTTTTGCCGGGGCCGCGCCAACAGGCTAATCCCGCTCGGGCCGAGCACAGATGCCGCACAAAGGCGCTGGTAAGGACCAAAGCAAACACGCTCGGGATCCCGCTCGGGCCAAACACGTGCGCCGGGAGTGTAATGCAACGCGCAGGCGCCTGCAAGGACCAAAGCGGCCAGGCTCGCTAGCCCGCTCGGGATCCCGCTCGGGCCTTGCAAAGGCAAGCGAAGCCACGCTCGGGATCCCGCTCGGGATCCCGCTCGGGGCTGCCATGCAAAGGCGTCACTCTTGCGGAAGCCATACAGTTAGCACACGCCAGACCCTCTTGCGCCTCGTTTGGCCGTGTCAGCTAGGGCTCTTTGCATCACGCCTGACAACCCTCTTCTCTACTGCAATAGCTGTCTTGACAATTGCATTTGGCTTTGGGATTCACAAACAACGGGCCCCTATAACAGCCTGGCAACTCCACCCCTAAAGCAATGCTTCTTGCGACTTGAAAGGACGCCCGTAGCAAAAATCAACGACATCATCAAGAAGCCCGCGTTGTCCGAGTGTTGCATCAGGTTGCATGCAAACGCAAACGCATTATCGCAGCGGGCAGTTGGGCCCGTGTAAAAGCTTTACCCGCAAGAAAAAGACAAAGCACCGTGCTCTGATTTCACTCTTCAAAGCCCACAAATACGCTCGAAGTTTTGCCGGGGCCGCGCCAACAGGCTTGGGATCCCGCTCGGGCCGAGCACAGATGCCGCACAAAGGCGCTGGTAAGGACCAAAGCAGACACGCTCGGGATCCCGCTCGGGCCAAACACGTGCGCCGTGCCAAGGCGCAGATAAGGACCAACACCGTCACGCTCGGGAGTGTAATGCAACGCGCAGGCGCCTGCAAGGACCAAAGCGGCCAGGCTCGCTAGCCCGCTCGGGATCCCGCTCGGGCCTTGCAAAGGCAAGCGAAGCCACGCTCGGGATCCCGCTCGGGATCCCGCTCGGGGCTGCCATGCAAAGGCGTCACTCTTGCGGAAGCCATACAGTTAGCACACGCCAGACCCGCTTGCGCCTCCTTTGGCCGTGTCAGCCAGGAGTGTTCGCATCACGCTTGCCAACGCGCTTCTCCTACAGTTTTTGCCAAGCAGACACGCTCGGGACCCCGGCCAAACGCCTGACTTACAGTTAGCACACGCCAGACCCTAGCGCCTTCTCAGCTGGTGTCAGCCAGGACTCTTTGGATCATCACGCTTGCCAATGCGCTCCTCCTAACTACAGTCTTTGCCCCTCACTGAAATGGCAACGCAGCAGTTTTAGTGCGTGGCATGCACCCCCATTATTCGGCGAAGGGCGCGCTTCTCCCTTAGGTGCATCCATCGGCGCAACTGCGGCACCCCCCCCCCAGGATGTTTCGAAGTAATGATGATTCTGGCATGGCACCCTGCAACAGCACCCTGCGCAACTCTGCAGCACCCTGCGCAGCTCTGAGTCTCGTCCTGCCTGCCTTCCTTCCTTCCTTTCTTCCTTCCTTCCTTTCTTCCTTCCTTCCTTTGCTTCCTTTGCTTCCTTTGCTTCCTTTGCTTCCTTTGCTTCCTTTGCTTCCTTTGCTTCCTTTGCTTCCTTTGCTTCCTTTGCTTCCTTTGCTTCCTTTGCTTCCTTTGCTTCCTTTGCTTCCTTTTCCTTTTGCTTCCTTTGCTTCCTTTGCTTCCTTTGCTTCCTTTGCTTCCTTTGCTTCCCTTGCTTCCCTTGCTTCCCTTGCTTCCCTTGCTTCCTTGCTTCCTTGCTTCCTTGCTTCCTTGCTTCCTTGCTTGCTTCCTTGCTTCCTTGCTTCCTTGCTTCCTTCCTTCCTTGCTTCCTTGCTTCCTTGCTTCCTTGCTTCCTTGCTTCCTTGCTTCCTTGCTTCCTTCCTTGCTTCCTTCCTTGCTTCCTTGCTTCCTTCCTTCCTTCCTTCCTTCCTTCCTTCCTTCCTTCCTTCCTTCCTTCCTTCCTTCCTTCCTTCCTTTCCTTTGCTTCCTTTGCTTCCTTTGCTTCCTTCGCTTCCTTCGCTTCCTTCGCTTCCGTGCTTCCTTCCGTCCTTCCTTCCAATGCCCATGTAAAGCTATTTTGATGCCAAGCCTTCTTCCAAAGACCTTGAACAATCCGACTGCCAGACTAGTTGGAGTGCTAACTGTTGGGCCTCAACCACGGCTTGGGAAAAAACGCTGCGCAAGCGCCCAAACAGTTAGCACTCAACGTTGGAATGCCGTGTGCTAACTGATTGATACTCACTATACCCCCAAAAGGTTACCCCGCAAGATCAATCCCCTTAGTAAGTAGGCTATTTTTTTTTCAGGGCACTACCCCCAGCTTTCCCTAGTTGCCAAGGTTTTTGTTAAGCTATACTTACTAACTTTACTTTGCAAAGTAAGGGTGTGTTCTTAGGGTGGCTTTCCCAAGATGGCTGGTGTGCCTCCTGGTTTCCTTTTAAACTCACCCGAACAAAGGGGTACCCCCCCAAAAAAAATAAGAAACTAAAAAAAAAAAACAGCATGAAATAGACAGTAGGTGACAACCAAGGTTCTAAGGGCACCAACCCTGGTTGCCCTGTTTATTTCCATGGTTGTTTTCTCCTTGCTAAGTCCCTAGGGTTCAACGGATTCCCACAAAAGAATGGCAACCAAGTGAACACAATTTAGATGCCAACCCCAAACGATAAACAATGGGGCAAATAGTCCAACCCTTGCTTTAAGAGTAGCCTGCGTGAATCCACTTGGGTGTTCTGCCAAGTTAGTAAGTTGTCAGTAATACGTGCCAAAAGTAGAGTTAGCCTTGTTAGCGGGTTAAATCCCTGGGTTGCCTTTCGCACAAAATCTAGCTTGCCAGAACAAATGTCCAAGTCCACCCCCAGTTACCCTTGCTGCATCCACATTGATGACCTCGATCCTTACCTGACGTTGCTTGAAAATCCCAGTAGCGGGCAAGCCCGACAAATATCCGCAGACCTGGTGCACTTGTTGGGTATTCACTTAATGTGGCAGGGTACTTAGTAAGTGGTTAGCAAGCCCAGAATGTATAACCACTGAACGGAGACTTATAACCATGATTTTTGTGGGTTATTTCGCCATGCTTTTGCCCACTGAGTACAGTCCCCCTTTAAGCAGGGAATTTGGTTGGAGGGCTCAAAGTGCCTTCTATACGGATATACTTAGGTCAATGGGTCTAAGGATGCACATCTTAAGGAGCTGCCAAGAACAAACCCTTGAAATAGCCACCCAAGTACAGTGCCCCTGTAAGCAGGGAAGTTGGTTGAACCCAAGGAGACTTACTAAGTTCAGTACCCCTTTGAGCAGACCTGGTGTACGTATTGGATACCCAGAAAAGTGGGTGTGGGTCAAAATTAAACCACTAGGGGACCGCAGGTTTTAGTCCATGTTTTCATTTACTAAGGTTCCATTTTGGCAGGGCTCCTTAAAAGATACATTTTGCCCATTTGAAACATGGCTTTTTCCGCCAAAACAAAGGGACACAGCCATTTACAAGGCAATGTTCAGCTGTACAATGTAAGGATCCCTGTTTGGGTCCTATTTTTGACCCACAGCCAAGTGGGTTGAGCCTCAGGAGAAGCTTGGGGAGGGCAAGAGGCTCTTCCGCGCCTCGCTGCCCCCGCTGCCTGCCGGCCTCCATCAGCATCCCGAGGGGACAGTTCCTCGGCCTCCGCCTTCCGCCCAGCGCTTCCCGCCCGGCCATAAACGGGGCGATCGGGTACTTAGGAGGTGGGTAACAACAGTACAACAACAACAACCAACAACTTGCAAAGGATTTTATCTTCCTCATTTTTGTTTTTCAGGGTGGGTGGCTTTTCGGCTTTTTGGCCTTTGTGGCTCTTACGTGGGTTTATGCGGCTTTTGTAGCTATTCAAAACCATCTTTATAACCCGCTTGAAAAACTTGTAACGGTGCCATGGTAAGTGTACCCGCTTACTAAGTACAATGTTTAAGAGTATACATTGTGACAACCCCGGTTGAGCAGACAAACACTATTTGCGGCTTTGTCATTTTTGGGGTCTGGACCAGTTTAGTAGCCACAAAGTTCAAACTAACTTTTACCGGCCAATCCACTCAATATGGGTGTGCGGACCCCAGGCCATGGTATGCCTTTGCTTTTCTCTTCCCTTTATAGCCACAGAGGAAAAACATGTTGCACCCTGAACAACTCAGACCCACACACACACACAACACACACACACATATGGTATGCTTGTGTTATTGATTTCCCTTCACGACCACCAGAAAACTGAGTACCCCGAAAACAAAAACACACCAACAAACAAGCAAGCAAACAAGCCAGCAAACAAACAAGCCAACAAACAAACAAACAACCAAACAAACAAACAAACAAGCAAGCAAGCAAACAAACAAAAAAACAAACAAAACAAAACAAAACAACAAACAAACAAACAAACAACCAAACAAACAAACAAACAAACAAACAAACAAACAAACAACAAACAACCAAACAAACAAACAAACAAACAAACAAACAAACAAACAAACAAACAAACAAACAAACAAACAAACAAACAAACAAACAAACAAACAAACAACCACAAACAAACATACAAACAAGCAAACAAACAAACAAACAAACAAACAAACAAAGAAACAGACACACACACACACGCACGACACACCTATGGGTCTTTTAAAGACAAGCCACCCATGGCGCATTTTTGTTGGTACTCGTCTTCGCCCAGGTGGAGCTCCAGCTGCCTTCGACGGAGGCGGAGCGCTTGGAGTGCCTCCGGGACTTGGGGCGCACCATGCTGGGGGGCTCCATCTTAGTCCTGGGCCGCAGGACCGGGGTTGGGGGGTGGGGAGCTGGTGGGGTGGGGGGCGAGGTTTGGGGGGAGTCGGCAAAACGGGGCGGCTGGGGGGGGGGCCGGGTGGGAGCTTGGGGTCCATGGTTCTACGTTTGGTTTTTGGGTGCGGGGCTGTTGTTTCTGTTTTGTTTCTTTACGGGGGGAGGTGTCGACATTTGTGCGGGTTTTTGTGGGGAGCGAGTTTTTGTTGTTTTCTTCCTGGTGTGGGGCTTTGTTATCCCCCGAGTTGTATGCCGATATTTTTTGAGGAATTTGCTTGCTGAAAACCAAAGGCTGCCATATATGTACATACATATATATATATATATGTACACATACATATATATATACATATATATTTATACATTATGTACTTCTTTCCAGAGTTTCTAGACTTTAAACTTTTAAGAACAATAACAAGTTGGGATTCTTTGTGGCCAATCCACCCAGGAAGTGAGTACAGGGGAAGTGAGTACAGGGGTGTGACCATATATATATATATACTATGTGAGTTTCTCAAAATGGAGCCATTGGGTGGATTTCAAGCAGTGTACCGGCGATTGGGACCAGGTGAGTACAAGAAGCTAGGAAATAGGGCAGGAAGTTAGCGAAACCACTGAATACCAGGTTGGCTTGGAGCCGGTTTCTCAGAGTGAAAGGTGGGATTTAATCAATCCCCCAGCCAGTGGATGTTTTGTGTGTTTTGCCTGGTGTATGCTGGGTTGGATCTGTAACTTTGGTTTATTTTTTCTAATTTGCCACTACACGAGATTTGATGGATCCACCGCGAAACCCCCACACAACACCTTTGAATGATTATTTTACGCCTAGCCTACAACCAGGTTAAGCTTCTTGGGCCGGAGAGACAAATTGCATAGGACGAAGCTGGCCAGTTTCGAGCCCTTTAAGTTGCAGCCAGGTGTTGAAGGGTTTAAATAAGGGAAACCCCCATGGTGTGTGGCTACTTGTGCCTCTTGAGTGGGTCGTAACCTAGATTCGCCTTTTCCACATGCAAGCTTGGCAACGAGCATCAGAAGGTACTGGCATCGTTGGGAACCCAACATTGGGGGGAAAGTTTCGTGTTGAGCCAGCAAACGTTCAACTGTGTTCTCACCGTAGTGGTAGAACCCCAGTACTGGGCAAAGCTGGTTTAACCAGTCTGGTAAACAGGTGACCCTGGGTATATTTTGCGGATCTGTGTTTTTTGGATGGTTTCAACGGTCACCCAGCACCCCAAACAACAAAAAGAGGTCCACTAGCACCCATAATTTGTGGAATCCCTAAGCGGGGTAAGTACAGGGATGGGTAGTTGAGAGGCTGTTGTGGGTTCCTTTGTGTGTTCCCGAAACGAGTTCCTTGGGTTCCGTAAGGAAATTTCCCACCCCAAACTACTCCTCCTTCCTTCGATTTCCTTAGGAAGCCTTAGCAACCCGCCCCCCCCTTGGACCACCTCCACAAAATCCCACGCCTCCGGTTCCCCACCCAACCCAAACGTCCGTCCCCACCACCACTTCGCCCGCCCGCCCGCCCAGGCGCCTCCCTCCAACAAACAAACCCCTACTAACCCCCAACAAACCCTCCCCTCCCTCCCTCCCCCCAAACCCCCCAAAACCCCCCCCACCTCCCCACCTTACATCCCCCCCCACCCCACCCCACCCCTTAGGTCCACTCCAAACTCCGCACTCCACCGCCCCACCAGGCGCCTCTACCCGGTCCGCCCGGAGAGCTCCGCCGTGGGCGCCGTCTCCGCCCAGAGCTGCGGCGCCGCGCTGGAGGCGCTGCAGGACGCCATCGCCCAGGCGAGCCGAGCGAGCCGACGGTCTCAAGCCGAGCGCAGGGGGCGAGAGCTGGGGAGTTGTTCTTTTCCAGTTGCGAAAGTTGAAACGACCCCCCCCAAACAAAAAGAGAAAAAACTAAAACCCTAGCCTAAGGGGATGCCTGGGAACCACCAGCGAATGGAGGTCAATGGGGGCCATTTGGCTGTGGCTCAAGAAACCGGAATTCCAAAATGGGTTGCCCTGGGAAGTGGAAACATGGACCGGAATTTGCGTGAGTCCTCCGGTTTAATTTTGAGCCACACCCATTTGGTCAGGAGTAGCCCACTTATAAGTCAACCTAGCAAGTGGAGTCAACCTTGGCGGGTTATTGCACAGCTGGCCTTTTCCACTTACTTCCATTTGCTTAAGAAGATGTTTGTTATTTTCGCCTGTTGGATTTTGGACGGGAATCGATTTCAACTATTGGAAATATTTGTTTGTTTTTTTGGTTTTCCAGGGGACTTAAGCAAATGGAGGGAGTGAATGTGGGAGTGAACCGGTTGGTTGAAAGGGGATTCCCGAATAGACTAGGTCACCCAGTAGTGCCCTTCTCTCCCCTTTTTTGGGGGAGGGTTCCCCTACTAAATACACCACAGAAAAAAAGGGTACCCTTATTCTAACCTCTCAGCTGGAGGACCTAGAAAAGAATCCACCAGTTGGACGGTTTACCATTTCTCATTCCCTGCCGGACTCGCACCAGCAAGAGAAACACCATGTTTGACGTTTGGTGACCGAATCGCCCCTTGGACCTTCCGGGCAACCCCTGGCGTTATAAGTGTTCATTCAACCTGCAAAAGGAGACGGACCATAGGATAAACATGGGGTTTGTCTCTAAATATAGGTGACCACCACCCCCCAAATTGGTGGTGTCCCTGTTGTTTCCCTTTGAGTCACTCTTTGTTTTCTGGACCATTTATAGTGGCAGACTAAAAAATTGGTGACTTTTTGTTGGCCAGTCCACTCAGGAAGTGGGACAAGGCCGGAATCCTGGAATGTGTTTACTTCCATTTGCGCGAACCGAATGTGTGCCGCGTTTTCCTCGTTGGTGTGAACGTGAATCGATTCCAGTGCTGTGTTGTAAGGAAAACCAACAAGAAGCCGTTGTTCTTTTGACGGTGTTTTTATTATGATTGTTTCTTGCGCCTATCAAACTCAGAAACTGTGGTGGTTTCCCTTGACCACCTCTGAGGTGAGTTTGATGCTAGTTTGATGCTGTGGATGCACGGAATCCTGCACCGCCTAAGAAACGTTTAAATGATTCGATTCCCCAACGTAAATACTGTGGATGGACGAAATCCTGCACCACCTGAGAATCCATAGAATGATGATTCCCCTGCAAATACCAACAAACAGTGGTTTCAAGCCACAGTATCAAGCCACGCTATTGCAGCGATGGTTTTATTAACCGTGTTTGCGCAAAGCGGATTCCGCAAACCGTCCACAGTGGTATAATAAAGGGGCGATCTTGAGTGTTCCCCCCTACTTTAAGGCAAAAACCACTTCTTGTTCCTTTGGCCACCAGCGATAAGAGGGCTCTCCCCGTTGCTTAAGAAACTCAACTTATTGGGATGGTTCGAAAGGGAAACCAAGGGGGAAACCATGTTTTTGTTGGGGGTTCTTGCAATTGCCCCCCGGTGGTGTTAAATTGATTCGATCACTATTGGATTGTTTGTTTGCGATGGTCTGGATGGCTTCTCATCGAAGGCTAAAGCAAACGGCGTGCACTTCAGCTTGTAGCGAGCCATGACAAGAGCACAAAAGAACAGCACACGCGGCGATGGTTGCAATTGAGGGAAGCAGCCATTCGGGAGTGTTTCACCATCTTGCTGGTTCTCAAGAAGCAACGCAAAACGAGCAAGCTTGCCAGGGGAAATGTGTGGCTTACTCCCCTAGTCACCTAGTAAGTGCCTGGACGTTCGGCCAAGCTAGTGGTTTTTTTGCCGGGGGAAATGCCTATCAGCGAACAGTGCCCCCAATCGGCGACTCCCAATCAGCGACGGCCAATCAGCGAACACACGCGTGCCAATCAGCGATTGACGCGGGACCCATCACAGTATTTCCTGTGGCGGGGTGACTCTTTCTGCTGGCCGGAATTCCTTTTAGGATTTCCCGTGGTGACTCTTTCTGCTGGCCGGGATTCCTTTTAGGGTTTCCTGTGGCGGGGTGACTCTTTCTGCTGGCCGGGATTCCTTTTAGGGTTTCCTGTGGCGGGGTGACTCTTCCTGCTGGCCGGGATTCCTTTTAGGGTTTCCTGTGGCGGGGTGTGGCCAAAGGCAAAGGAAGGAGAGAGTGCGTCCAATAGAGTAGCTGGCAACCAGGCCTTCGGGGCTGAGGGCTTGAGCAGCAGTTTGTCGCGGCGTTCAGGCTCTTGCTCTTGCAGCAAAAGCTAAGTCCAAGCCAAAGGCGACCCCCTGAGTGGTGATGTTGAGCTAGGCTGCCACATGATGAATCGTGATGGCGCAGGCACGAGCGCAGAAAAGGAAGCGTGAGGCTTGGCCTGCCGGCAGCGCTTGCTGACGCCGAAGTTCCCTACGAGCATATTCCCCGTCATTGCTCCATCATTTTTTCTTTAGTGTTCCTTGAAAAGTCGGTTAACTTTCCTTCCGTGCGTCATCTGTCAAGCATTTTCACACCTATCCAGCCAGATGCTAAGACAATCGCCTAAATGCTGCTTCTTGTGATGCCGCAAGCAGACAAAGAGCCGGCTGATGACAGGAAGCAGGCTGATCAGCAACAAATTGCTTGTCCCCACGTTGATGTTCCTGACGCTGCGGCACTTGAAAGCTTCTTTCTGTGGCTTGTTCCGCCTTAGATCACATCAGCCCCTTCTCTTTCGTTCCTCTCTCAGTTTCTCTTTCTGTGGGGAACGCAGCTTGTCTCGTTGCAGTCCTTGGTATAATTTTGTCTGGCCACAGAGATCTGCGACAATAGAGAGGTCAGCTCTGCAGGCATGCTTGCGAAATTGCATGGGAGGGCGCATTGAAGCCAAAGCTCAATGCTCAAAAGCTGACGGTGCCCCTACTGCGGCAGAAGTGCAAGGCTCTGGGCTTGCAGGCCATGTGTCATTGCGTTGCACATCGCTGGTTCACAAAGCAGGGTTGCGCAGGCTCACGGCAAGAAAGCTGAGCTGATTGAAAGGATGGCCGGTCAAGAGGCCGGATACGGCTGAGCACAGAAGCATGTCCTTGCCTCACTTGCCGCACGCATTGCTTTTTTATGAACATCAAAGCTACCACTTTTATCTAGTTTGCCTTCAAGGGAAACGTCAAACGGGGTCTCCCCAAAAGAAAACATATGGAGCCCCATTCACTGCGGTGCTTCTTCTGACCATCGATGCCCAACCAGCCAACCAACCAAGCCAGACCGGCAGAATCAGCCAGCCAGCCACCCACCCAGCCACCCAGCCATGCCCAGCCAGCCAGCCAAGCCAGCTAGGTTGCCACATGATGCCCTGCTCTGCCCCCCCCCAGCGCAAGAAGTCTTGTTCCTGGACTGCTGCGGGAATTGACGCAGCCTGCCATGTCAGACCCAGCTGCCGAGGAAAAGGATGAGGGGGGCGCTGAAGATGATGCAGAGCAAGAGGCTACCATATGCTGACACGCCCATCACGCAGCTTAGAGGCCAAAGGCGAAGGAAGGAGAGAGCGCGTCCAATAGAGTAGCTGGCAACCAGGCCTTCGGGGCTGAGGGCTTGAGCAGTCTGTCGCGGCGTGCCGGCTCTTGCTCCTGCAGCAAAAGCTAAGTCCAAGCCAAAGGCGATCCCCTGAGTGGTGATGTTGAGGTAGTCTGTGACATGATGACTCGTGATGGTGCAGGCGCGAGCACAGAAAAGGAAGCGTGAGGCCTGGCCTGCCAGCACCGCTTGCTGACGCAGAAGTTTCCCACGAGCAACGGGCCCTGCCGATCCTCCAACAATTTTCCGTCAATCTGTCTTGATTCTCCGTCTTTCCTCCATCAATTCTCCGCCAGTTCTCCGTCTACCCTCCATCAATACTCCGAGCGCTCCGTTGTCCGGGAAATCCCGAAAATTCTCCGAATTTTTCAATATCCCCGGACAGTGGTCCATCATTTTTCCCATCTCTTCCCCTTCAATCATCCGTGTCGCTTCTCCGTCAACTCTCCGTCGATTCTCCGTCAACGCTCCGTCAATTCTCCGTCAACTCTGCGTCAGTTCTCCGTCGATCCTCCGTCAATTCTCCGGCAATTCTCCGTCAGATCTCCGTCACTTTGCCGTATGGACTCCCGCGAGCTATCTTAAGACACTTGGTCAACCCAATCGTGACAACGACAAATGACCAATAACAAACAATCGTTGATAGCAAGCAGCAACATGTCGGTTTCTGCTCACGAAGCAGAAGTCGGAAAGCGGGGCCCGCGTTAACGTTCTTCCTTGCGCTTTGCTTTTAATGGACATTTTCGGGGGGTGCCTATCATGAAAGCGAGCGAGAACGACTTCCAAGCTGCCAAAGGTTTGTTGGTTAGGCTTGGAGTTTCGGAGGCTGACTTTTGACAAACGCAACATGCAGCACAGTGGCACGATGCTACATGTCGGGCATGTCATTTGCAAAGTGGGAGCTGGCAGAAACAAAGTGTAGAGTTGGAGCCAAGGTATCAGTTTGTAAGACGTTGCTTTTGCCAGTTGAATGTGGAGACGAATGCTCACTTGCAGAACCAGCTCATTTGCGCCATTTTAGTTACGTAGACAATGTGGCCTTGCTGTTGGACACTTGGACCCTCAAGGCATGCAGCAGCAACTTCATTCTTTGGAGGTTTAGTGCCCATGAACCATGCTTGGTGTCGTGCACAAATATTTTGCAGCATGCTTGGAAACGCCAGCCAACCAAGATCAGCCATTGTCAAAAAATCGCTCTGAGGCTGTCACTTGCAATGCTGGGTGAGTTTCAACTGCATTCTTTAGCCGCAACCAGCTTGAGCTGCTGTTGGCATTGCGTTGGAAACCATTCGCGCAATCTGCTCTGCAAG